CTATTGTCATTTTACCTCTACTTCTTTTGTATGTTTGTCACTCTCTTGTGACCCGCTATTTCCGGGGTGCCTTGATGGTCAAAACAGACTTTGTGCTGTTGAGGCTAGAGAGGTGAGCAGAGTAAGTCTGATTCCCTGTAAAGACTTCTCTGTTGATATCCACCCCTTGGCGCTCATATGACCTTATGCAGTTGCGAGCGCCGTAAAACCCTCTACTAAAAACAAAAAAAACCCAACAAACACTGTTGCATCTGCCATCATCACACTGTTACATACATCATCATCTCACTCTCCCACTCCCCTCAGATCTCCAACAACCGCCTGTGCTCCTCACACTGTTATATATATATATACATCATCATCCCACTCTCCCACTCCCCACAGATCTTCAACAACCGCCTGTGCTCCTCACACTGTTATATATATATATATACATCATCATCCCACTCTCCCACTCCCCACAGATCTCCAACAACCGCCTGTGCTCCTCGGGACTAGCGGCCATCAGAGGGGAGGAGTCGGCCGTCGTCACGGCCACGGGGAACAAGATATTTGACCGCGGGGGCGGAGACTTCAACTGTGGGCGTGGCCTGGTGGCGCGAGACAACGTGCTGTCCCGACCCACTGGGGTCACAGTCACCTCCGTGACCTCCAGGTAGGTGGGCGGCTTGGCCCGATTGTCGTGTTGTTGTGGCGTTCTATTTGTGAGGCGAGCTGACAAAATGAGCTACTTCTCGCAATCCACAAGGGGAGGGACTGGCCAAAAATCGACCCTGGGGTCAAATTTGTATTTTCTATTGATGTCATATTTTCAGGTTAAACATGCTTTTTATTATTTCTTAGTTTTATGAATTGTAAAAACTTCACCTATAAGCGTGATGTATCTATTTCCGTAGGGCTCAAATCCGAAAAGCAACTTACTTTGTCAGCACACTTCACATTTGTGTCATGAGGCCGTGAAATCACGCGCTCGTCAAAATGCAGAAATCGGTGAAACAGGCATTTTTCTGCTAGTTTAAACTTTTTTATCGAATTTTTATTTTTGGCTTCACCTCTTATACGTCCATGTAAAAAACCTACTCCCACGTGAATGGTACTGAAAAACGTTGACTAAAGCCACACAATATGTCATTCTTCAGTTTTCAAGGACTCTTTAGCTGTTGGAGTTACCAATCTTTGGTGGCCATTTTCTCACTAATTTCACCAATGAAACCAGGCAACCTCACTTCCTTCAGTCGCAAATGTCTTGAGTTCTATTCAAGATAAATGGATATTTATTTCTTTGGAAGCAAGGGAAATAAATCAGCTTTCAGATGATACCTGCAACTCCACGTGCCCAAAAATGGGCCTGATTCTGCCATGTTGTCTCACTCACAAGGCAGTCCCCAATGTCCGGATCGGATGCGGGAACAACTTTACTTTACTTTTCAGAGTTATTGGTATCATCTTACAGCTGATTCATTTGTCTTGTTTTTGATAAAGAAAATTACCCATTTAACTTGAATAGAAGTCAGGTATTTGGGAACAAAGAAAAAGAGATAAGGATGATAGATGTTTGACAGGAAAGAAGGAGGAGAGATAAGGACGATAGATGTTTGACAGGAAAGAAGGAGGAGAGATAAGGA